ACACAGGAAGATTATGGAAAAAGGGAAGATTAAGATACACAGGGAGATTAAACAACTCAGAAAGAAAAAGAAACCCAGAAAGATTAACTAACACAGGAAGATTGAGAAACACAGGGAGATTAAGAAACACAAGAATATAAACACACAGGAAAATTAAGAATCACAAGGAGATTAAGAATCACAGGGAGATTAAGAATCACAGGGAGATTAAGAATCACAGGGAGATTAAACAAACTCAGAAAGAATAAGAAACCTAGAAAGGTTAACAAACACAGGGAGATAAAAACACAGGAAGATTAAGAAACACAGGAAGATTAAAAACACATGCAGATTAAAAGAAACAATGAGATTCAGAAACACATGCAGATTAAAAGAAACAATGAGATTCAGAAACACATGGAGATGAAGCAAACGCAGGAAGAGTTAGAAACACAGAAAAATTAAGAAACACAGGAAAATTAATAAACACACAAGATTAAAAAACACATCGAAATTCCAAAAAAAACATGTAAATTAGGAATTACATTGAGCTAAAAAAATACACGGAGAGAAAGAAGCATTGGAGATTATTAAATAAAGAGGAATTTTAGTTGAAAATTTAGCCAAAAATCCTTTTTATTAAAAGAGTTTGCCAATGCCAATGCCAATGAACAGAGACAAAATAGTATAATTTTTAAACAAAATTAGAAAATTTTAATGTTTATTGAATCTATCTGTTTATTAGGAGGACTAGAGAGAACCAGCTGAGTGGAGGGCCGCCCACTGCAAGGACACAAAGTACTAAAAGTACGCAAATAAAACACCGAGTTACGCAAATTCTAAAGAGACGCAACAACAGATAAAAACAAAAACATTGCCAAGGAGCCAGGCATGAGGCGGAACGGGAAATAAACCAGAATAGGAATTGAATTTTTGCCACAAACTCTGATTTTTTTATCCATATATCTTTGCAACCCAATGGAATTGAATCTTTGCCTTAAACTCTGATTTTTTCATCCATATATCTTAGCAACCCAATGTCATAGACCTTGGATACTTAAAACTATGAATTCTGTTAGTTCAAATAAACTAGGTTTGAAATATCAAAGGGGTTTATACTATTAGGTTGATTAGATACTTAGAGTTTGTGGCAGACTCAATTCCTTTTATCTCTGCCATTACAATTATCCTAAAAATATTTGTATATATATTGTGTAAGAAATCTGTATCATATTTATATAGTCTAGTTTAGTTTAGTGTATCCAGATCTGTGTATCTATCTATCGCATTGTACTGCACATGGCACAGAGTATCGTAATAAAACCCAGTATCGGAAACCCGGTTTCAAAAATGGGGCCAGGGCAGTTTTGTAGATACTCATATTTGTGTTATTTCATGACTCATGAGGGCATGAGAAATTGTAAACACTTTGTTTGCAACTTGTTATATATTAAAGAAATACTAAATAAAGGGCCCGGCGTTGCCTGTAAAAACAAATTGGAAAAAATAATTTGGAAAAAAAGTTTAAACAAATTCGATTTTTTAGTCTTTGTTACCCCCAGGGACAATTTTCATTACAAAAATTGTGTTAAAAATATTTAAAAAAATACTTTTCAGAAATATATTGTATCTACATTGTAATGTACAATACCTCCATCATCTTCTTGTATACAATACCTCCATCCTCTCCTTGTATACAATACCTCCATCCTCTCCTTGTATACAATACCTCCATCCTCTCCTTGTATACAAAACCTCCATCCCTTCCTTATATACAAAACCTCCATCCCTTCCTTGTATACAATACCTTCATCCTCTCCTTGTATACAATACCTCCATCCTCTCCTTGTATTCAATACCTCCATCCTTTCCTTGTATACAATACCTCCATCCTCACCTTGTATTCAATACGTCCATCCTCTCCTCGTATACAGTACATTCATCCTCTCCTTGTATACAATAACTCCATCCTCACCTTGTATACAATACCTCCATCCTCTCTTTGAATACAATACATCCATCCTCTCCTTGTATACAATACATCCATCCTCTCCTTGTATACAATACCTATAATTTCTCCATGTTGCTGATAAGAAACTATTTTTCAGCAACATCTGGATCTGCTGATAACAAAGTCTGAGTCAGTTTTATTGATTAATTGAGTATATAATATATCCAATGTACATTCATATCACATTCATATTTTTCTTATTCAATTTAAAATACTAAAACACATGGAAAGTGAGGGGCAAGTAAACAAAATCATTGATTGGAATATGAAGTCGAGTTTCATTGAGTTTTGCGTGATCAACAATGTTTTTTTTTCATATTTTAAAGAATTTTTTAAAAGACTAAAACCGCACCAAGCTAACTGCTAATCAAAACTAAACATGACCCAAGAGCGCTAAATCAAACCAAAAATTTCCCAAGAGGGTTAAATCAAACCAAGCAGGACCCAAGAGAACCAAGTCAAACCAAGCAGGACCCAAGAGAACCAAGTCAAACAAAGCAGGACCCAAGAGAACCAAGTCAACCCAAGCATGCAGGCTCCAAGAGAACCAAGTCAAACCAAGCAGGACCCAAGAGAACCAAGTCAACCCAAGCAGGACCCAAGAGAACCAAGTCAACCCAAGCAGGACCCAAGCATAATATATGCATACATACCATTTGATACATTTATTATTTAGACTGTTCCTTTTCTGTTGTACACCATTTTAACCCTGTTGTTTCACCGTATGTACAACAAAATGTATTCCGTGAGTCGTTGAGATTGTTTAAACTCAGTAATTTCACATGCAAGAATAATAAAAATGATTTATTAATTTTACACAAATTAGCTCAGCCATTTTATGATTATTGTTTTCTTTACATTTTTTATCCTTTTTTTACAAGCAAAAATGTATTAAAAACAGGAGCTCAACACATTTTCAAATCTCTTATTTTTTCATGTTAGTGGAATAATTTTTAGTCGGTTTTGTTTAAAATATATTTTAAATTTTCATTTTAAGATTTTAAATTTTATTCCATTTACATGAAAAATGTATAAAATAAGGGAGCAGAAAAAAAGTGTTTATATTATTTTATTTTTGTCCCCTCAGAACGACCTTGAAAAACATCTGTGGTTTCCAGGTGTCAGGTGTCAGGTTCGGGTTATATCATAATTTACAAATAATTTGAATCGAATTTATCTAGGCCGGTGTTGCAAACCCGCAAAATTTAAACTTCGGATAAGAAGGATTATAAAAAGAAATCATTTATGTTGATTTGAATTAAAATTAATACCATAATATTAACATTACACTTATTAGAATACTGGATTCAGAACGGTTTCAAGAAGAGCATGTTTTGAATTAAAATTAAACTCCTCTTTTAAACAAAGACATGCTAATTACAAAGAAATTGAGTCTTTGCCACAAACAGTGATTTTCTATAAATCCTTGTCCACCCAATGTCGTAGACCATAGACATTTCAAACCATGAATTATGTTATATCAAGTAATCTAAGTTTGATTTACCATCAGGTTGGAAAGATATATGGATTAAAAAATGTTGGTTTGTGGCAAAGACTCAATTCCTTTACTGTTTTGAACGAGAACGAGCGTTTATAGTTTTAAACAAACGGCTGGACCGAATGGGCTAAAATTATTTGTTTATTTATTGAATTAAAGAAATTGAGTTTTTGTCGCAAACTCTGATTTTCTTATCCCTTTATCTTTGCATTTTAATGTCAGAGACCTTAGATATTTCAAACTATGAATTATTTTAGTTCAAATAATAATAGTTTGAAATATCAAAGGCTAACACCTTCAAGTTGCAAAGATATAGCGATTTGAAAATCAGTATTTGTGACTAAAACTCAATTAGTTTATTATAGAATAAAAATATTTTTTTTCACGTCCTAATAAACAGAATTATAGGCTAGAATGAGAACACGTTACCTAATTTAATATGGTTAGAAAAGGCGTGGAAATATTCTATTTAGATTAAATACTTTTTTGTGTACGATTTTTAGTTTAATGTCTTAGTGGGACATTTTTATAATATTTCAGAATTTTTATTTTTATTAACGTTTTATTAACGTTCTACGGCTTTTTCATTTTTACTATTTATTTAAAAACTCTGTATTAAAGTACTGTTTACATCTTAATTCCTTTCTAGAGGCTTGTTTCCCCGATGAATTTGAATGTCAGCTGTGTTAGGGGTCAGCTTGACTGCTGGCTAGCTGTATACCTGGCTAGCAGGTCGATCAGCTGATAAAAAAAAAAACTATTTATAGGTTAAATACTTAACAAAACATTACATTCTTATCATTCATTCCAACTAATTAAACAAAAAATGTTGTTTTCAACATTTTCAGATTTTTTTTTCTTGCTTATGCCTCCAGGTCTCTAATTTGCTTGTATATCCTATGTTTATGTTGGGGAAAGGTTATGAACATATGATCTAATATCCTCAGTTCTTCTCCTCTGTATTCACTGATCTAACATTTAAATAATAATATTTTAAATGATTTTATAATAATACGTGCTGGAGTGCCTAGTGATGTCCACTCTAAGTGACTTAATAATAATATTTCAAGACTTTCGTATAATTTTAACACAGATTTAAATCAATTCTCGAGATAGGAACATCAGATATAACTTTCATGGGTCGCGATCGAGAGCTAAAGTGATTAGTTTTCAGCCTATACCCCCTTTCATTTCTCCTTTACAGTCCCTTTAATAATAATATTTTAAATGATTTTATAATAATACTTGCTGGAGTGCCCAGTGATGTCCACTCTAAGTTACTTAATAATAATATTTTAAATGATTTTATAATAATACTTGCTGGAGTGCCCAGTGTTGTCCACTCTAAGTGACTTAATAATAATATTACAAATGATTTTATAATAATACTTGCTGGACTGCCCAGTGATGTCCACTCTAAGTTACTTAATAATAATATTGCAGGAAGTAAAATGTAAATATATAAATGCAGGAAGTAAAATGTAAATATATAAATGCAGGAAGTAAAATGTAAATATATAAATGCAGGAAGTAAAATGTAAATATAAATGTGCAAATTATAAAAGTTCCTAATTCTGAATATGTAGGTGTGTTCTAAATATTTTTACAAATATAAATATCCCTAAATCTGTTCTAAGTTGCCAAATTAACAATCACTTTAATCGGATTTACATTTTTCCAACTTAATGAAGTCTGGTGTTCAGGTGAAAATGTTTGCTAGATGTATTCTCAGCGCTAAAAGTTCATCTTTTCAGTTTGATGATAGAGTTCTAATTCTTAATACTCCAATCAAGGTAATCACAAAATTAGAGAAATAAAAAAATGTTTATCTTATGATTTATCTTCGCTCGTATATATATATATATATATATATATTTGTACAGCTACGACGTCTGAACTTCTGTGTAGAGTATCGTTAATCTTGAACGTTTGATCTCGATATTCGATGTGGGCACTTTTAAATTTGAGGATTGCTTGATCCCTCCATTAAAGTTAGCCCTGTAGGCTTTGACCACCATGGTATATCGACGAGGAATTATATTAGTCCGTAGGATTCACAGCATAAACGTTGGCTTCTCAACAAAGCTGTGATTTTTAAGGACATTTTCATTATCAAATCTCGTTATTAGAATCTTACCAAAATATTAGGCTCAGCATGAAATCATTGTGTCCTATCAACATAAAATATTTTCCGTTAATCTAGATTGGTAGAACTCACAAGGATGAGAAAGGAGAAACAGATAATGGTTACTTCGATAGCAAGGTTCTTTCCAGGTTGGTAGTTTCATAGGAGAAATATTGGTTCTTTCCAGGTTGGTGGTTTTATAGATGCACCAGGTGAGTGGTGTTATAGGAGAATTATTGGTTGTTGCACCAGGTGAGTGGTTTTAAAAAATTCATGATTTTCTCCAAGCAAATGTTTTTATAGAAAACTTTATAGGTTCTTATAATGCAGTTGCACACTTTTTAAGTAGAACTCTACATATATCGTGTACGGTGTAGCAATTCTTTAGAAATTCTCAGATGCAATTTTTTAAAAAGACTTTAGATCTTTTAATCTATGATTCTTTTTTATTAATGTCTAGGGGACATGCAGTCATAAGTTATGAGAACTCTAGGTTTTATATCCAAGATCTAGGAAGCAGCAATGGTACTTTTATCAACAATATCAGGAATATTTTCAATAATAATACAATAATATTGTTCATACTTCTTCTCAGAACTAAAAGAATCAGGATCAATTTCTCTGCTTTGCAGACAAATATTTTTCTCTCATATTTTCTCTATTTTCTAATTATATTGGAGGCTGAGAGAGTTTCTGAGAAAATGATTAAAGAACTAAGATAAATATTGTTTATTGAGATTATATTAGATTGAATCGAAGTGGAGAAGAAAGTAAACAAACCGAGATCTATTCCGGAGATATATTAAGGTTGGAGAGAAACTAATCAGAACCTTGAACCAACAACAACAATGTTTTCTTATCAAGGATCATTGATTTATACAAAAGAATGGAAAGTTAGATGTCAACTCACGTGAAACTAATTTATCTTTTTAGATTTTTTTTTTAAATTCTGCGACCTCATCAGCAGAATTTAACAACCATTTCTTGAAAAACTGTTTGGTTTTTTTTCTGATTTATAAAGTTATAAGAATTTCCTCGAACCTTCACCACATGTTTCAGGTTTGGATCTGATGTTGTGGATAAATCTAAGAACGTGACTCAGAAGGCAATTGTATCTAGGATAAAACTAATCCATGAGGATGGAGCAGAATCCAGCTCCAGGCCTACGCACTCTAAACTTTACAGGTATAAATACATTCTGGAAAAATTTGATCAGTCCTAGAACCTGGTCTTTATAGGTTTAAGCAGGCTCAAGCCTTGACTGTACAGGTTTAAACAGGTCTAGAACCTGGTCTGTACAGGTTTAAACAGGTCTGGAACCTGGTCTGTACAGGTTTAAACAGGCCTAGAACCTGCTATTTACAGACTTAAACAGGTCTAGAACCTGATATGTACATGTAGTTCGAACAGTCCTAGAACCTGGTCTGTACAGGTCTAAACAGTTCTAGAACTTGGTCTGAACTGGTCTAAACAGGTCTAGAACCTGGTTTGTACATGTAGTTTGAACAGTTCTAGAACCTGGTCTGTACTGGTCTAAACAGGTCTAGAACCTGGTATGTACAGGTTTAAGCAGGCTTAAGCCTTGACTGTACAGGTTTGAACAGACCTAGAACCTAGTCTGAACAGTACAGTTCTTGACCCTGGTCCATTTCGTTTTGCTTCTCTCAAAAACTATTCAAAAAAGTTTCGCCTAGAGTTAAAGATGTTAGTAACTTATATGAATTTTATTATGTTTTGTTATGCTTCCACTTTTAGAATTAAGGATTGAGAAATCATTTTAATTGAAAGAATCTCAACTCTCTTGAATTCTGTAATTGGTATGCTTGGTATATCTGCAGGCCTACTGAGAGTTATGACGAGGTTACCCTGGCAAACCAGAATATTCAGGATTCTGTGAGAAGAGAGAAACTTCTAGAAGATCGTCTACTCAAGGTAGATAATAGTTTAAACCTCAGTTGGAAACTTTTAAACTCAATTCCTTACTAAATTTTATTCGCAATACAATTATCCTCGAGTTGAAATCCATTGATTCCAAGAGTTTAATTCATTCCCTCCGTTCCATCTTAGCTAGATAATAGACATATCATGGCGGAGAGACAGCATTAAAGGGACTGTAATCGTAATTTCAAGTGGCCATCCATGCAGAGATATATTACAATGCCGGAGTCACAACGGCACCCTTGAAATGAAAGATATTATCATTTCTCTAGGTTTAAAAGGCTAGATTCTGTAATTTCCTATATGTTATCCTGCATAAGCAAATTTGGTTTTCACTTTTTCTGAGAAACCACAACTGAAAAAATCAGTTTTCCAAATAAAAATATGGATACACATTGTATACTTGACCGGACAAAGCTTTAGGATATCGTCGCGAATCTTGCATTGTCATATTTACATGAAGGCTCACTTGAAATTACGCTTACAGTCCCTTAAAGCTCTATTTTTTCAAGTATATAAGCTAAGGTACATTTGTGAAATGTGTAGGGTTCAATCAAATATTATACAGGTATAAAAGTTAGTAATATAGTTAATGATAAAGCTTGTTCATCTGAAGACAGACATCACAATTTATAAAATAAATAAGATTTTAAACTTAAGGAAGGACAAGAAGAGAAGCCAATTCAAAATCATTTGTAAGAACAAAAAGTATACACTATATATATTACTTCTACTTTCATAACATTTTTCTCTATTGCAGGGCTTCCTTCCGACTTATTTGTTCTAGATTATTCTCGGCATTATGTATAGTTATGTAACAATAAGACAGAGAACTTTAAAAGCTGCCCTATTTCTTTTTTATTAGATTTATTTATATTTAAAAGCAAAAAAGCGGAATAAATATCGGTTTTGTGATTTTTCAAGGATACTTATAGTTTTTGTTGTATATATATAAAGTAGCAATCTCTATTTGTTTTTGTTTGGATGTCCGATCATAACACACAAACCCCTCAACCGATTTGCCTCAAATTTTGATTAGGGAACTTGGGAGAACTGCGGAAATTCTATTAGCTTGGTTTTGAGATTCTAAAATAAGTGGGTCGACTTGTATAGGGTCAAAATAGCTAAAATCGTAATTTACGACTAAGCGCGGGTAAACGGCAGGAGTAACTATGAGTACCCTGGGCAACGCTGGATTCCCAAGCTAGTGTACTAATGTGAAATAATCATAAATAAATTTAGCCTTATATCTTTACTGTACACCCTGTAAGAATTGTATATTTAGGTTCGTGGAATGATATCCAAGCATATCGGTAGATCTCAGACAGATATGATCAGGAACACGGAGATCATAACTTATCCGTCCTGCAACCTTCCATTCTTCTCTCAACTTTTTTTATCAGTCCTGCAACCTTCCATTCTTCTCTCAACTTTTTTATATCCGTCCTGCAACCTTCCATTCTTCTCTTATCCGTTCTGTAACCTTCCATTCTTCTCTACTCTTATCCGTCATGCAACCTTCCATTCTTCTCTCAACTTTTTTATATCCGTCCTGCAACCTTCCATTCTTCTCTCAACTTTTTTATATCCGTCCTGCAACCTTCCATTCTTCTCTACTCTTATCCGTCCTGCAACATTCTTCTCTCAACTTTTTTATATCCGTCCTGCAACCTTCCATTCTTCTTTACTCTTATCCGTCCTGCAACCTTCCATTCTTCTCTCAACTTTTCTTATCCGCCCTGCAACCTTCAATTTTTCTCTAAACTCTTCTTATCCGTCCTGCAACCTTCCATTCTTCTCTTATCCGTTCTGTAACCTTCCATTCTTCTCTACTCTTATCTGTCATGCAACCTTCCATTCTTCTCTCAACTTTTCTTATCCGTCCTACAACCTTCCATTTTTCTTTAAACTCTTCTTATCCGTTCTGTAAGCTTCCATTTTTCTCTAAACTCTTCTTATCCGTTACGCAACCTTCCATTTTTCTCTAAAATCTTCTTATCCGTCCTGCAACCTTCCGTTCTTCTCTAAACTCTTCTTATCCGTCCTGCAACCTTCCATTTTTCTCTAAACTTTTCGTATCCATCCTGCAACCTTACATTCTTCTCTACTCTTATCCGTCCTGCAACCTTCCATTTTTCTCTAAACTCTTCTTATCCGTCATGCAACCTTCCATTTTTCTGTAAACTCTTCTTATCCGTCATACAACCTTCTATTTTTCTCTAATATCTTCGTATCCGTCCTGCAACCTTCCATTCTTCTCTACTCTTATCCGTTCTGTAACCTTACATTCTTCTCTAAACTCTTTTTATCCGTCCTGCAACCTTCCATTTTTCTATAAACTCTTCTTATCCGTCCTGCAACCTTCCATTCTTCTCTACTTTCATCCGTTCTGTAACCTTCCATTCTTCGCTGAACTCTTCTCTCAATTTATCATTTTTATTAATATTTACACTCTATATTTACATCTCTCATTTAGATCTCAATCAAATATATTTCTACTTTCTAAATCCTTGAGAAAACTTAATTTTTGGGAACACTAAAACCACTTGTATAAAGTTATCTCTGGATTAAGGATATTTGAAGATATGAAAGAGGAGTTGATGCGTCCCTACGAGGTTTCACAGATAGATTTGGAGATAGAGAATACTGCATTAAACAGGGATAAATATAATAAAAAATGTTACAGAAAAAAAATTGAACACAGAAACAAAATAATCAATCTTTTTTATTGAAAACAGTGTCTTAACAAAAAATAATATTAAATAAGATTAAAATATCTGATAAACAGGGCTGATAGGGAGAGTAGTTCTGAAATGATTCGTATCCTCGGAGAAAACAAAGAACTAGGGGATAGGCTGAGGTATGGTTCTGAATCCTGAATATTTACTGTGGCCACTCTTGTACTCTTGTATATATTAGTTCACTGCACTTCACAGCTTTTAAATAGTATTCCCCACTTTCTTGCCAAGGATTAAGAAAACTTAATCACTTGCTTGCTGAAAATAAGACAAACGATTTTCCTTTAGAAATATTTTTTTTTCAGTGATATTGAGAGTAAATTGGAGGATAGGGAACGGTTTTGTAACTCTGTTCAGAGAAAACAAGGAGAAGATGCTCTAGAGATAGCTAAACTAAGGTGTTTACTGTTTATACAACCCGGATTAGGGTTGAGTTAATTTTGTTTACTCCTAACCTTCCTCTCATCAGGCAGGGATACGGATATCTCGGCCTTGGAAACTTATATCCTGGACCTTTGCTTTGTCCTGTTTTCATTTTTTTCCTTGAACCCTCCTTCTACTCTTCCTGCTCCTTCTCCTTGGACCCTCTTTATACTCTTCCTGCTCCTTCTCCTTAACCCCTCCTTCTACTCTTCCTACTCCTTCTCCTTGGACCCTCCTTCTACTGTTCCCATTACTTCTCCTTAACACCTCCTTCTACTCCTCCCACTCCTTCTCCTTAACCAATCCTTCTACTCTTCCCACTCCTTCTCCTTAACTCTTTCTTCACTTGACCCCTCCTTCTACTCTTCCTGCTCCTTCTCCTTAACCCCTCCCTCTACTCCTACCACTCCTTCTCCTTAACCTCTCCGTATACTATTCCCACTTCTTCTTCTTAATCCCTCCTTCTACTCTTCACACTTATTCTCCTTGACCTCTCCTTCTACTATTCTACTCCGTCTCCTTGACCCCTCCTTCTGTTCTTACCAATCCTTCTCCTCGGCTCTCCTTCTACCCCTCCCAATCCTTATACTTGTCCCAATCCTACTCCTCAACCCTTCCTTTTTGCTTACCTCTATCCTTCCTACTCTAAGCAAGCATAGGTAAATTGGAATATCTTGGCCTCGGACATTTCCTTCTGCTTTTAGTCGTTTTTCTCCTCTACGCATTCCTATTCTCCTCCTGCAGGACATTGTAGAGCAGTACAGTAGTGTACATGGAAATATGGCTTAATACGGTAAAACTGTACAGAGTGTAAAGATCAGTTCAGTTCAGTACAGTTTAATGCTGTGAAGCACGTTTATTTATTTCAGTACAGTACAGTATACATTTTACAGTTCAGTGTTCAGTGTTCAGTGTTCATGTTTCAGGCAGTTGATAGATTTACAGAACCAGGATATAGCAGACCTGGAGCAAGCTCTGAAAGAAACCCAGAGTACAAAGGATCAGGATCAGGTAAAGGTTAAGCCTAGACCAAGAGCAAGAGGTTGAGACCAGACCAAGAGCAAAAGGTTGAGCCCAGACCATGAGCAGAATGTTGAAACTAGACCAAGAGCAAGAGGTTGAGACCAGACCAAGTGCAGAATGTTGAGCCTAGACCAAGAGCAAGATGTTGAGACCAGACCAAGAGCAGAATGTTGAAACTAGACCAAGTGCAGATTTTTTCAGATATTTTAACATATTAGTTGGGACAGTTACACCAGTTACACGGTTATACCAGGACCTGGAGAATTATGATTCTTTGCTGTAATTTTTATGAATTAAAATTTAAATAGTGTTTACATTCAATTCCTCAGTTTGAATGGAGTTTCCATAAATAACAGAAATGAAAATGTTAAAGGGACTTGCGATGTATTTTTAATTGACCCTATAATTTATGCATTAAAAGCCCGCCAGATTCACACAGGTATCCTCTATCTGATTATTAATAAGAAAGATAATATCATTATTTTGTTCTTGAAAAATTATAAATTCTCCTAATTTCATTCCTTTTCTCTGGTGTGTAAATTCTAAAGTGAAATCTAAAACAGAATAATTTGTTCCCAAACAAATGTTTCAGGGGTACCATCGTGATTCGGAAACGTACGTCGGGAGACAATCATGAAATTCCTTCCCTGTAGTTTTTAATATTAATATTTTTAAGGTTGTGAATTCTCTAAAGAGTTTTTATGAAACCCAGTTGTCTGAACAAAATATGAAATCTGAAGAAGAGAAGAAAGAGATGAAGATTTTCTATGAAACTAAAATGAGGTTTTTATATTTAATATCAAATCTTCATTTTACCACCTTAATTCTTTTTTCATCGTCATTTATTTTAGAGAATTTGAGGACTCCTTTCTTGAAGAACGGACAAAAATCCGCCAACAGATAAAGGTTCCATATTTAGATATTCAACAGATAAAGGTCCCATATTTAGATATTCAACATATAAAGGTCCCATATTTAGATATTCAACAGATAAAGGTCCCATATTTAGATATTCAAACAACCCCAAAAGATGTGATATCTAAAAACGTATTTAGGAAATAAATTTGAGAAATATGGAATGGGTAAAGATTAGGCGCAACATTAACCCCAACCTGAATTCTATCTATCTATCCTTTATTTTACATGAAAAATATCTATATTTCTGCAGCATGGACATGTAGTTTCATGAATAAACAACACAGATGATTTACCTTTGGTTTCCATTATATTCAGGGGCGTACACAGGAATTTTTCATGGGGGGGCTTAATTTTTTTTTTGGGGGGGGGGCGTTGAGCCCTAATAGCCCCCCCCCGCGTACGCCTCTGATTAAATGAGAAGAGGGGTTTACAAGATTATCATTGTTATTTTACAGGAAGTATCAGAGAATGTTATTTTACAGTAAGTATCAGAGAATGTTATTTTACAGGAAGTATCCGTGAATGTTATTTTACAGGAAGTATCCGAGTATGCTATTTTACAGGAAGTATCCGAGTATGCTATTTTACAGGAAGTATCCGAGAATGTTATTTTACAGAAAGTATCCGAGAATGTTATTTTACAGGAAGTATCCGAGAATGTTATTTTACAGGAAGTATCCGAGTATGTTATTTTACAGGTTGTATCCGAGAATGTTATTTTACAGGAAGTATCTGAGTATGTTATTTTACAGGAGGTATCCGAGTATGTTTTTTACAGGAAGTATCAGAGAATTTTATTTTGCAGGAAGTATCAGAGAATGAGATAAACTTACTGGAACGGATTAAAGGATTAGAGTCGGAGAAAGGTTTGCTAAATTTAAAATAATAGATTTTATGCATTTTAACTATTTACATTTATATCTTTAGCCAATTGCCACCCATGATTGACATATAAGAAATAACAATAATTATGAAACGAAACTTAAATTTTGCCACAAACTCAAACTAAGCCCTATATCTTTGCAACCTGATTGTGTGAACCTTTGATAGTTTAAACTTGAACTATTTGATCTAACAAAATTCAAGCTAGAAATATCAAAGGTCTGTTACATTTGGTTGCAAAGATATAGTGATTATAAAATCCGAGTTGGTGGCAAAGACTCATTGCCTGTAGCAACGTTAAATTTATTTTTAATCTATATCGAAAATTCGAATTAAACAATATCAAACCTTGCCTCGTAATTTTCTACTAATTTCTAATATATCAAGAGTTTTCTCTCTAAATTGATAAAATATAATAAAATGATAAAAGTCTTCACTTAATTCCATTTATTAGGAACTTCAAGAATCATTTATATTCATTCTTCTATCCTCTGTCCTTGTCTCAGTATTTGTATTCATAACATTTATCTATTCATCTTCTCCTCCCTTGTTTCTGTGTTCTGTTAATACTTGATATCCGTTAGGTTACGCAAGAGCTGAAGTGGATAGGATAGTTGTGAAGGACGCGGATAATTTTGCGTACAAACAGGAACTAGAATACATTCCTTCGGAACCCCCCTCCGCCTTCTATACTGCTTCGTTTATACTCCTTCCCTTTACAGTTACACCCCCTCCCTCTTGTTTGTACGCGATAAACTCCCGGCCCCGATTATAGAAAGAAAAAAATGAAATTTATACATTTTTGATAAGAATTTTAAATCCTAATCCTTTACCAGAATTCATACAGCTCATGCTAATCAGACCACAAAAAGCATAAAATATCTATTTATGTCAAAGCATAGTTAATTCCCCCCCCTTCCTGATTTCCCTATTCCTGCTCCCTGCTCTCCTATTCCCTCATCACTCTTCTATCCCCCTTTCCTGCTCCCCATATTCCCACTCCCTGCTCCCCTATTCCCTCATCACTTTTCTATCCCCTTTTCCTGCTCCCCATATTCCCACTCCCTGATCCCCTATTCCCTCATCACTCTTCTATCCCCCTTTCCTGCTTCCCCTACTCCCACTCCCTGCTCTCCTACTCCCTCATCACTCTTCTATCCCTCTTTCCTTCTCCCCATATTCCCACTCCCTGGTCTCCTATTCCCTCATCACTCTTCTATCCCCCTTTCCTTCTCCCCATATTCCCACTCCCTTCTCTCCTATTCCCTCATCACTCTTCTATCCCCCTTTCCTTCTCCCCATATTCCCACTCCCTGCTCTCCTATTCCCTCATCACTCTTCTATCCCCCTTTCCTTCTCCCCATATTCCCACTCCCTGCTCCCCTATTCCCTAATGACTCTTCTATCCCCCTCTCCTTCTCCCCATATTCCCACTCCCTGCTCCCCTATTCCCTAATGACTCTTCTATACCCCTTCCCGCTCCCACTATTTGCTCTCTACTCCCCATATCCTTCTCCCTGCTTCCCTTATAACATCCCACCATTGAGATTCTTCCCTCCCTGTCCTCTATCTCCCCCCCCCCCAGGAACAACTATACGTTATGTAGGATGGTGAGCTATTGATATTAATTAGTTGAGTGGGAACTATAGTCTCATTTAACAATCGGACTTTATCCTTCATCGGTTTTATTTAAAGGAACACGCCGCGAATTTGTCACGGTGAAGTGCCACAATATCAATCGTTTATTGTTAAGAATTATTGATTATTATGATCAATGTTTCTAAAATTTGTATCATAATAAGGGATTTAATAATTTCTAACTTTCCCTTTAAATTGCTAATTACGAGAAAAAATTGATAAAACCTTTGGGAAAAAATAATTTTCTTGTTGCCATGAGAAGGGAGGGAAGAGAAAAAAATAAACACTACAGAAAGCTTGGTTAAAAATGATCCGATTTTGTATATTTTTGGGAACTGAGGTCGGGGGGGGGGGGGGTTGCCCCCTAAGAAATTGTTTGAACGCCCCTGTATGGAGAGTCAGTTATTTATCGTGGATTGAACTGAATATATTTATCTCTGAGAAGTTTATGTGGGATTGTGAAGAGAAAGATGGCTCTGTAAATATATCGATATATCATTTTAAGTGGGTAGTTACGGGTTGGAGTAATATACATATCATAATTTATATTTCAATTCTGGTTAAACAAAACCAGGGATGAAGACAGTCCCCAAAAAAACTAAAACTTTGATTCTTTGATTGTGATAAATATATATTTCAAAATTTAAATCATAAAAAGTGCTGATTATAGAAACTAAAACAGTTCGACGTCTAAACGTAATATCTAGAGTTATATTTGGACGAAAAATCAATCTTAAAGAGTCGCCATCAGGAAAACTTATTTGAAAATAATAGATGACGTAATTTTGACATTTGAGACGTATCCAAATATTAAATTATTAAATGAAAATAACCAAAAATGCATTTCCTATGGTTTAGTGACAGCAAAACTCTAAATGTCACATCTGGATACAATAACGACAATATTCTCAAATTAGAAATATTCTCAAACAGGAAACACAAGTCGGAAAAAAATTTTGCGGATTTTTAAAAAAAAAATTCGCGGATTTTCAAGAATTTAATTTTTTTTTACAAAATTAAAAACCTTTAAAACACATTTTTTTAAATTTTTTTTCATTCATAAACCTTCCCTGTGGTCACGTTATGTCCCACACAAAATTTGGGCCCGATCGGTTCAGCCGTTTTGACGTTTATTGGATACAAACAGACAGACAAACAGACAATATTTATATTTATATAAATATTTGTCTTGTATTTATAAAATATATTAAAACATACTTATAAAACTTGGCATTGATAGGCAGGGACTGTTTAACTGGAGAGTCAGTTCAAGCGATGATGTTGACTTGAAGAGGTGGATGCTGGAGATCATGCTGCTTGTGGGTTGAAAGCATGATCTCGATATCCAATGTGACCACTTTAATGCATCCCTTTAATAACGTTATCCCGATAGGATATGACCATCACGGGACATCGAAAATAATGAAATTAATCCTTAGATCTGCATAACATAGAGATCAGTGCTTTGTTCCTAGATTCATAACACAATAGTTGTGACTTCGGACCTTTGAGAGCAAAGATAAAAATGTCAAACAAACTAAACAAGTTTGGGATTGTTCCTACATATTAAAATATCTAAAAGAAACGCCGAAGTTTAGTATTGCGACCACTTGCCGTAGGTTTGCGTCAATTTAATCAGAGTTTTGCGTCAACTTTCAGAGGTTTGCGTCTATTGGATCTAGACTTGCAACAACTTGATATAGGCCAAGGAATATACCGCTTTCGTCAGCTATAAATCAGACTTTGAAACAACTCAACATAATCTTATGTCTGCGTCAACTTGGTCTAGGTTTGCGTCAACTTGATCTTACATTTACACCAACTAAAAACTTAAATGAATTAATCTAGAGTTTGAATTAACTTGTTCCTATAGCTAGGTTTGCGCCAATTGCGTCAACTTGATCTAGGCTTGCGTCAGCATGATTTTGGCTTGTCAAGTTTAAAATTTGTTCAAGGTGTGTAGAGAGAGGATGAGGGGGATGACAGGGGTGGAAGGGACGTATAAAGCAAGAATTGTCAGATAGAGGGAGGGGGATATATGGCTTGAAATATGACCTGGAACTCATTTGTCGTCATAACAAGATGATATCCGTAGATTCATGAAACCTTCTAATTGTATTTCTAACAGCCGACTCCAATACCATTCCAAACTAAGCCTAATTCTATAACAGGGTGTTCGAAAAATATAAACTTCTGACTTATTTTTAGTTTAGTGTTTAAAGGGACTGTACGCATATCAAGATTGGAGAAATTATCAGAAATAAACATATTTCTAGTCTGGAAAACGACGTTATCTTCCACATTTTATATAAGATTAAGGTTTCAAGGGTGCTGTGATGCAAATCTGGCATTGCAATCTTTGCATGGGGGGCTACTTGAAATTACGCTCACAGTTTCTTTAAGAACAGAAATATAGAGTGCGTGGTCCAACAAGAATGACAAGTTAGAAAAGTCTAGACCGTTCATTTATAAAGTATGTTCCCACTAGTTTCCCATTAGAAATTTGTATGTTTCACTAGTTTCCCACTAGTTTCCCATTAGAAATTTGTATGTTTCACTAGTTTCCCACTAGTTTCCACTTGAAATTGTATGTTCCCACTAGTTGCCCACTAGTTCCCACTTGAAATTGTATGTTCCCACTAGTTCCTACTTGAAATTGTATGTTCCCACTAGTTCCCACTTGAAATTGTATGTTCCCACTAGTTTCCCATTAGTTCCCACTTGAAATTGTATGTTCCCACTAGTTTCCCACTAGTTCCCACTTGAAATAGTATGTTCCCACTAGTTCCCACTTGAAATTGTATGTTCCCACTAGTTTCCACTTGAAATCGTATGTTCCCGCTAGTTTCCCACTAGTTTCCACTTGAAATTGTATGTTCCCGCTAGTTTCCCACTAGTTCCCACTTGAAATTGTATGTTCCCACTAGTTTCCCACTAGTTCCCGCTTGAAATTGTATGTTTCCACTAGTTTCCCACTAGTTCCCACTTGAAATTGTATGTTTCCACCATGTTCCCACTAGTTCCCTCTTGAAATAGTATGTTCCCGCTAGTTTCCTACTAGTTCCTACTAGAAATAAGTATGTTCCCTATACATTTATACAAAATGAAAGACCAAGAATGTAACCTTTGGCCTTTATCAGCTTGTATATACCCGAATCGACAAGGAGTGAATTAAAAAAAACAGGTTATATATATATTTACTTTTTTTGTAACATTTTCAAGAAAAAGGCGCCAAAATCCAACCCGCCCGTCTTTTAACACCACCCCGTAGAGCGAAAAATGTAATTATGAAATAAATTTTACTGGACAGAAAATGTGATTAAATTAAAAGTTGACAAAAAATAATTCTTGAGAGGTAAAAAGGATAAATCTGGAATGAAAATAAGTTGAAAATGAGATGAAAAGTATGGCATTTTCAACAGATCTATGTTTTATCCAGTTCCTAACAGAATCTAAAGCAAAAACCTCTGAAATCCCTCAAGATTCAAGATTCAAGCATTAAAGCAAATAGTAAAAACTTTTAAATGCCATAATCTCAAATGAAAAAGGGGAATAGTTTTAGAAACATCAAATTATGGGGAAATATTTGATTGCAGAAGATAATAAATAAGGTTTTCATTTTTGATTTATTTTTATTTTTACGTGGTTGATACTCACTCAAATATATACTCTGTTACCAACTGAGGTATTTACGCCAGTTCATACTCTGGTACCTACTCACAGTACCTACTCAGGTATATTACTCTAAACATACTCCAGTACCTACTATGGTACCTGCTATTGAGCTTATACCGTTACCTACCTCATCATTTACTTTAAACCTATTCCAGTACCTACTGTGGTTACTTACTACGGAGCTTAATCCAATACCTGCTTCATCATTTACTCTAAACCTATTTCAGTACCTATTGTGGTTACTTACTACGGAGCTTATTCCAATACCTGCTCCATCACCTACTCTGAACCTACTTCAGTACCTACTGTGGTTACTTACTACGGAGCTTCAATACCTGCTTCATCATTTACTCTAAACCTATTTCAGTACCTATTGTGGTTACTTACTACGGAGCTTATTCCAATACCTGCTCCATCACCTACTCTGAACCTACTTCAGTACCTACTGTGGTTACTTACTACGGAGCTTATTCCGATACCTGCTCCATAACCTACTCTGAACCTACTCAAGTAACTATGTGGTACTTACTCCGGGTCTTATACCGTTATCTACTCCATCACCTACTCTGAACCTACTCAAGTACCTACTGTGTTACCTACTCCGGGTCTTATTCCGTTACTTACTCCATCCCTACTCTGAACATACTAAAGTACCTACTATGGTACCTACTCCAGCACTTACTCTTGTACCTACTCTAGTATCTTCTCAGGTACCTGCTCTGGTATCAATTCTGGTACCTACTCCGGACCCTACTCTGGTACTAATAACCAAAAATGTACTTAGTCAAGGACCTATTCTCGTGCCATACTTTTATAGATTGGCCCAGAGCCTTCTCTGTTATAACAAAGTACGGATGTCATGTGAGATGAATCCACGACAGCTAAATGTTGTCTGATATGTAGCTTTAGCTCAGATATAACCCGTCCTATGCTCCAACTCCAATACAACCCGTCCTGTTTTGACATATTTCATATTTGATGAAACTCCTCCCTTTGTTTAACCAGACTGCTGCAGGAGAACCCTGGGCTCTTGGGATTCAAACCGAAGGACTGAAAGTACTAAATGCAAGGAAATTAACATCAGTTTTGTAATAAAGGGGATCTAATCTTCTGTAAGAGAATCCTGAGATATCTCCTTTTTCCAACCAAAAATTATATTTTTCCGCGAGTTTTCCAGAGACAAGATAATAGCAGAGATTTGTCATATTTCCGCTTCAAAAAATGCTAGTTTTTAGCCATAGTATCTCAGATAAATATTTAAAGAGGGAAAAATTGTTGAAAGTCAGCAACTGAAAGCTCAATTTGTATTATTTATTGATAAAATTCTTTAAATTCAAGACCCCTTTGTATAAAATGTACTAATTCCACGTGTCCTACAGGGTTAACCACAAAGAATGAGAATTCAGAGACGACTGTCTCGATTTATTTTTCTACATTCATGTAAACTTGCTTCTTTCTTTGCCAAACCATACCATTTACAGGCCATATTCAAGGCAAATACTATAATATCCAAACCATACCATTTACAGGCCATATTCAAGGCAAATACTATA